CTGCTAAGCTCGGCTGGGTCCCAGAGATCTGCCTGTCTGCTTCCCCAATATTGGTATTGTAAGCATGGGCCATTATGCCTGGCCTTTGTCACATGGGTTCTGAGGCCTGAACTCGGGTGTGTATGCTTACATGGCAAGCATTTTATCAACTGAGCCATCTCTCCAGTCCTGGCCATCCCTTTTTCTTCCTCAGTGGGCTCGGAGCTGCCTAGGAGCCGCAGTCCCTGCCCACTTCAGGCCTTTCTTCTTGAGGGAGGCTCCTTATGCTGGAGAATGCCTGAAGCCGAAGGTCAGTGGCAGAACACAGGACCTGCAAGGTCAGGCACACTCGGCATGCTTGAGGGTTGGCAACATTGTGTGTGGTATTAGTGATGCATTAGCTAGACTTGGACCCAGGGCTGGTATGGCAGGCCTCTTAGCATTGTTGGGTTTGGTGAATCACAGGCCTTCAGCAGCAGGTGAACCTTGTTCAGGTAGCTCTAAGAGACTGAGGCTGGAGAAGCTATGCCACAGAAGACATGCCGAGGAGGGGGTCAAGGAACTTAGAGCTGCAGGGGAGTGTGGGTGGCTGTCCACTTGATACGCAAGCCTCAGGCTTTTAGGGAGTTAAAGGTTCTAAGGAAAGGCTAAGGGTAGGTGGCTCTGAGCTGAAGGGGAAGTGGCACTCTTTTGTGTAGAACACTCCGCGGCTCCTCATCTTCCTGTCCAGTCCCTCTGCTGCCTTGTCTTACACTGAATCACAGGCAGACTTAACTGTCTCTCGTCACTATAGGCTTTGGGGGACAACACTCCTTTGGTGCTGTGGGGCAGCCTTGGGCTCAGTAAGACCGATTTGAATCCTAGCCTCACCATGGTTTGCAAACTGTCACCTTGACAGTTTACTTTAACTTAAAGATGGGGAGAATAGCGCCTCTTTCAAGGGTGGCAGGGTAAACCAGGATGCTACACAGGAGGCCCTTTGTCCCCAGACTGTCTTCTCTTTTTACAGTCCTAGCATTAAACCCAGGGTCTCCTATGGGCAGGCGCTCTACCCTGAGCCACTTTTACTTTTTAGAGCAAATATAGACATAAGAAAAAGTGGGGAAAAAAAAGAAAAAGTGAGCCGGCTGGTGGTAGCCCACACCTTTAATCCCAGCACTCAGGAGGCAGAGACAGGTAGGTTTTAGTGAGTTCGAGGCCAGCCTGGTCTACAAAGCAAGTTTCAGGATCGGCTCCAAAACTACACAGAGGAATCCTGTCTCGAGAAACCAAGGGGCGGGGGG